GTCTTACAAGAATATCAATATATTCATACACAGGTCTTACAAGAATATCAATATATTCATACACAGGTCTTACAAGAATATCAATATATCCATACACAGGTCTTAGAAGAATATTAAAATATACACTCGAAATGATAGCTATTTGTGCTAGTTGTTTTTCTTTGAAAATCCTTCTTCAACTTACCCGCCACACACACACACACACTAGAAATCTAGAGTATTTGTAGGTGTTGAATATGGGTATGTGGGCGTGACTAAGTTTATTTTCAAATGTGTAGAAAAGCTTGAATAAATGTATTTTTGATTCAACTGATTTTATAACAGCCATAGCGAGATAATAAATAGTTCTGTTTGAAAATGACGTATACAAGACCAAACGTAATTTATATGCGGAGCTCACTTTGTTAATCTCTGGCCTCAGTTTGTGTATAAGTGAGCTCTCTTATACGGAGGCTCTGTTCGTCACTGGCCCTTCTTTTATACGGAGGCTCTGTTCGTCACTGGCCCTTCTTTTATAGAAGGCTCTGTTAATTATTGGTCCTTCTTCTATACGGAGGCTCTGTTAATCATTGGCCCTTCTTCTATACGGAGGCTCTGTTAATCATTGGCCTTTCTTTCATACGGAGTGTCTATTCATCATTGGCCCTTCTTTTATGCGGAGGTTCTCTGTTCATTAGTGGCCCTTGCCAAGAAAGCTTTCAAACTGTACCCAGTCCATCCTCAGATTAGCTTCCCACATAAATTGCTTTTGGTTACCTACTTACTCCAGAAATATCACACTGAATTTTTTTATAGTTATTAAGTTATAAAATGTAAATCGACGCTGAGCTAATAAACACGAACTTTAATAAAAAAAAATGTCATCAAACTTGACTTGCATCTCGTAGTAAAAAGCTAGTGTTGGAACTTCTAGGAATCAGCATTGAATGATTTAGTTTTTATTTGACATTAAGCATTTCATAATGGTTTCTTGTTTGTAGTTAAGCACAAAGCTACACAATGGGCTATCTGTGCTCTGCCCACCACGGGTATCGAAACCCGGTTTCTAGTGTGTTAAGTCCGCAGACATACCGCTATGGCACTGGGGGGGGGGCATAATGGTTTCTTGTACAGGGCATTTGTTTGCGAATAAACTGGGGCATTTGTTTGCGTTTAAACTAAAGACTCAAAAGGGGGCCAACTTGGCTAAGTCCAAGGCCCCAAGATTAATTAGTAATGTGGACCTATTGTAAATTTAAAACTTTTATACATCACATTACGTAGTTGAATTAAAATGTCAACCCATTACTGTCAACCTACTTCGGTAGAAACTTTGTGTGTACCTACCACATTAAATGTGAATGTGTATATATATAATGGATTATACACACTGTATCTACTTGTTTTTTCACTCATTACTCACCGTCTTATACAAACAGATTTGTGCGTTCACATATTTTGGTTAAATATATTAGGTTGACCATGCAGTATATCCTTTTAAATGATGCACAATACCATATAAATTCATTAATTGAAGAAATATTCAAATCATCCAAAATATACGTAAAAATTCAAGTAGCTTCACGTCACTTCTTTGTTGTTGTAAATATATAGAGAATTAATTACTACTCTTTCTGTGTATGCGGGTATAGATATACAATTACTCCAAAAATCTATTACTTATGAGTCCTTTCTGAGTACCTACGAAACTTTTTCAAAAATGCCCTGTTGCTATGAGATTTATACTGAATATATAAAACCACAAGTATCGTGTTATTTGGACAGTTGCTTATACGAGTGTCCTTCTGGCTGTCCTATTGAGAAGGAATGTTGCTTTAAACTACGGATTACACTTATTACATTTTTTACAGTGCAGTAATACGAAACGAAAAGCGATTAGGAACCATTAAGTTGGAAATATCTATATTTTGAAAATAAATGTAAAAAACAAACAAACAAAAACATAACTCATATTAGGCAGCATAGCAGGACAAACCGTCATGTACAGTTTTAAACATTGTTAGCAGGACAAACCGTCATGTACTATTTCAAACAATGTTAACAGGACAAACCGTCATGTAGAGTTTCAAACAATGTTAACAGGACAAACCGTCATGCACAGTTTCAAACAATGTTAGCAGGACAAACCGTCATAGTACAGTTTCAAACAATGTTAGCAGGACAAACGGTCGTGTACAGTTTTAAACAATGTTAGCAGGACAAACTGGCATGTACAGTTTCAAACAATGTTAACAGGACAAACCGTCATGTACAGTTTCAAACAATGTTAGAAACACAAACCGTCATGTACAGTTTTAAACAATGTTAGCAGGACAAACCGTCGTGCACAGTTTCAAACAATGTTAGCAGGACAAACCGTCATGTACAGTTTCAAACAATGTTAGGCCGAGATAACGACATATGATTAGCGTCTTTCTTTTGACATTTATTATCAAGAAATACGTTTTTAAACAAGTTTAGCACTTATTTTTACTAAAGAATCATTAGACGAGGGCTACATTATCGACTTTTTAAGACTGTATTGTTAGGAATGACAAGTTTACGATTAAATTAAGAGATTCACAATTGAATTAGTTCGATTAAGCTGTAACCTTAGGCTACTGATCATCAGACTCTCTTTTATGTAGATACTGCGTTTATTATTTTCTTTAGCTAAAATCTAAATGATTTAAAATTCTATATGAATCGCGTTAACTTGTGGACATTTTACTTTTAAAGTTTGTTGAAGGGCGTATAATTTACAACTGTTTTTCAATTCATTATTTTGAACATCAATGATTGAAAAATAAATGCTAACCTTTTTATTTAGACTTCCCCATGTCAGAGTTAGACTATGATTTTGTGTGTTAATCATGCAGTGAGACCTTCCCCATGTCAGAATTACTAAGATATTGTGTGTTAACCATGCAGTGAGAACTTTCCAATGTCAAAATTACTAAGCTTTTGTGTGTTAACCATGCAGTGAAACTTCCCCATGTCAGAATTACTAAGCTTTTGTGTGTTAACCATACAGTGAAACATCCCCATGTCAAAATTACTAAGATTTTGTGTGTTAACTATGCAATTCTCATAAATAAATATAAACATGTATGTTTTTTTTTCTTGTTTCTTTATAAGTTTACTTTTTTACATCAACAGTTATTCTGTAAACTACGTAAACGCTCGAAATTTAACAGTTTGATGTTATTTGTAATGAAATATATTACTGTTTCATGGCTGCAGGTAGCTTCTATTTTTACTAAATAGAGCAACGAGGCTGTCATATATATCGTAATTTAGATCTTTAATAGCTTCATGTCACGTGCCTTCGCGATAAGTCCCGTGAATGAGTCGTGCCGTGAAGCTGAATGTACACTTACAGACTTTCAAGAAACGATTTGCTAGAGAGCAGTAACAGGTTAAATTGTGTTATCCCGAACTCAACTGAAATGGCGCATATCTTTAATCACCCTAGACACCTCGGGGAGCATTTATATAACTCCTAGTAATTAGAATCATTAATGTTAGGATTTAAAAGCCCCTTGTCTGTGAGACACGTCCGCCAAATGATGTCGGCGTGGAAACCGTGAAACAGTTAAGTTTGCGTAATTCCTGCTTAGATGATCTGATACTTCCATCCAGTATAAATGTATGGCTAAAATATAAATTGTAATTCATTTGTGATGTGAATTTTCCACTGATACATAACCGATTTAAAAGAAGCTAGCCCACAGCTTTGATCAGTCATATTTTCTCACTTTTTTTTTAATATCGGGGCTAATCAGGCATTCGTAGCAACTACAGGATGTCTACCCTAGAATGGTAAATGTTTATTTAGAAAATCGTCAACTTCGTAACTGAAAACAAAACAAAAGATTTATTTAGAATATCGCCAGCATCGTAACTGACAAAATAAAACAAAAGACCTCAAAAGAGCACGTCTTTCAACAGGATTTTGTGATGAAAAATAAACCACTTTGAACGTTCCTCGATGTTTTTAATTTATTTTATTATTAAATATTTGTTATTCACGGTGATATTTCAAAATCACTTCTTAATATTGGCAAAATACAGAAGGGTTTGTTTGTTTATTGTTAAACACAGAGCTACAATATGGATTATCTGTGCTCTGCCCAACCTGGATATCGAAACCGAACATTTAGCGTTGTAAGCCCTCAGGAGGCACGAGTTTTTTTCTTTAAATAAACTGACTTAAACTAAGTTTACTAAAAAAAAGTATTAATTTCAGTCATAAGTATTAATCAAAGCTTTAAAAAGTGATATTTTTTATACAGTTCCAAAAATCAGTTTACAATACACGTCTCCTACTGGCGTAGTGGTAAGTCTGAACGCTCATGACGCTAAAAACCGGATTTCGATACCCGTGATGGGCATAGCACAGATAGCCCAATGCGTATCTTTGTTCTTAAAAAGCAAACAAAACAATACACTTTTTTGTCGAACTAAAAACGAACTCCCACAACATATAACTTCAGATAATAATGATAGCAATTTTCAAGAGTTAACTAACATCCTGAAAACAAAATATATTCAACTATACAAATACATATTTAATTGAATGGATATGATAAAGGCAAAAACGAAACTATTTATCAAAAATTAAGGGCATATATTTAATTAATCAATATGTCGCCTTACGTCTTCTTCAAGAGTGTGTTGCCACTCAGACAATATAACGAACGTTAAGAGTTTTAAGCTAAATTTTGAGACTGTATCTTTAAAAGAAAAAGTCCTGCAGAAAATGTAAGGCAAGGTAAGTTTAATATATGTTATGAAACTTGATGTAATGCATGTTAAATTTTGTGTTATGAAACTTGATGTAATGCATGTTAATTTTTGTATGTGTTGTGAAACTTGATGTAATGCATGTTGATTTTTGTATGTATTATGAAACTTGATGTAATGCATGTTGATTTTTGTATGTGTTGTGAAGTTCGATGTAATGCATATTGATTTTTGTATGTGTTATGAAGCTTGATGTAACGCATGTTAATTTTTATATATGTTATGAAGCTTGATGTAATGCATGTTGATTTTTATATATGTTATGAAGCTTGATGTCATGCACGTATTTACTGGAGACATGATAAATATGTATATCATATAACATATGATATACATATATGTTATGAAGCTTGATGTCATGCACGTATTTACTGGAGACATGATAAATATGTATATCATATAACATATGATATACATATATGTTATGAAGCTTGATGTCATGCACGTATTTACTGGAGACATGATAAAGAATGTGAATGAAGAGTCTATAGTTCCGAAGCCTTTAAACATCTTTACGTTCTTCGTAATTAAAACATTTCTGTCCTAAACTGTCACAAATAAGTGCTATTAGTTGACTGAGCTATGCAGTTATCATTCGACTAACTTAGAAACTATGTAGTTATTCAAGATTATTCAGCTTTAACAAAATGTTTTCAGAAACATGGTGGACTAGAAATCAATATATTTTGAAGCCTCTTGTTAATCGATAGCTACTGACCATTTGAATCGTCGACTCGAACCTGTCAACTATTTTGTTTTCAGCACTTTTACATCTGGCAGTAAAAACTCGTCGTTCTGAAGGTTTAAGGAACGCATTCGATACTCCTAGAGCTCTAACATGTGATCCTTTTTAATACTTAAATTCCAGAAATGTTCTAAAGTTATTTGACAGTTCAATCATAGGGTTAGCTGCTAAAGCAAATCGAAACTTCTTCGACGGATTTCCCCTCTCTGTAACGTAGTCTCTAGGATAACCAAATATGAGATTAATTTTGTAAAAAATAGATACGTGAAATATCCTTTGATTTCAGATGTAACCTTACGATGTTTTTTATCTTTCGGTTTCTGTTTGAAAAATAATCAGAGAGGAGGTAATGAAACAATCAGAGGCAAAATAATTATAATTTACCTTTTAGATTACAATATAAATGTATGGCTAGAATATAAAATGTAATTCATTTTTGATGTGAATTTTCCACTGATACATAACCGATTTAAAAGAAGCCAGCCCACAGCTTTTGATCAGTTATATTTTCTTACATTTTTTGTTCTATCTCAGGGCAAATCATGTGTTCGTAGCAACTACAGGATGTCTACGCCAGTATGACGACAGAACATGATGAATCGGAGCTTCCACTTCTGGAAATACATTTGGAAGTAGGAGGAGGAACTACAGACTGGGGGGCACTCGAAATTGATATATACATGTTTATGATTGAATAAAGCACGTGTAGGCCGATATCGATAACACCGGTGGGATTATGAAGATGAGTTTGCGATACGTTAAAAAAAAGGATTAACAATTGCTCTTAATCCCGATGATCAGATTAAGAGGCTAAAAAAGTAGTACTTTGCAGCAAACCCCTTCACCCGATACATTGGAAGAGGACAGAATATTACAGAGTGCCATAGTGAAATGAAAATGTAAAAAAAACATCGTCATTTTTGTGCCTTTTTGTTTTGAGGTGATAGATGAGACGTGGAGAACATGGGAATGACAATACACCAATAAAGTCAGGAAACTTCCACGACTGCTGTAAGCAACAGTGTTGGACAATTGTTATATTGGACATCGATTTTTTGTTTTGGGGTGATAGATGAGACGTGGAGAACATGGGAATGACAATACACCAATAAAGTCAGGAAACTTCCACGACTGCTGTAAGCAACAGTGTTGGACAATTGTTATATTGGACATCGATTTTTTTCTTGAATTTTTAGAACTTTTCAGCACATACGAAAAAGTGACATGTACATAGAAACACAGAGGTCGATTTTTCACTAAACTTAGTTTTGTTTTTCTTCTGTTAAACGTATTCTCACAAACAATTTTACTTAGTTACTAAGTATAGGCTTAGCGACTAATATGTTCACTACATATCTTTAGATATCTAAAACACATTTACGAATAATAGTAGAGAAAATTACTAACTAGGTAACTTTTTAAAAAAAACAAACTCGGTGTATTTTTTGTCTTGTTTAGCTTCAAAATTTGTCACACGAGGAAGAAATTTTAATCGAAAAAATTGTGCTTCCAGTTGTTGCTTTTGTCATAGATAATTCTAGATTTCAGTAATAAAGTAGTCTTTCTCACATGATCAACGTTTTATTGTGTTTCCAGGTTACTGTGATTTTTTTTCTTGTTAACACGCATACAACAAAGGCAGCTTATATGATCTAATCTTTAGATGGTATTTCCAAAATAATAGGAAATTGAAAAATATTTTGTCAAAGAAATTCATTTCTAAAACAGCAACTAAACTTGCTATATGATATCGGATTAGATACTATGCTATTGTTTTATGAATAGAAAAATAACGGGTATCTTCTTTATTTAGAGGGTGTTTAAAATAATGGTTGCTCATTGTAGTTGTAATTATTCCTACCAGATGGCGAGACTAGTTTTTACAGCCTAATTTTCGAAAAATATACGTATACAAATCTGAAATTATACTTTATAAGTTTGCATTATAATTTAAATTTTAATCTGATGTTTATAATTTAAAATGAATAATAACTGACTTTAATCTAAGTCAAATCAATGACTTTGCTCGTCTGCACTGAGAATAAAACCATAACAATTTAATTTCATATTCTTCGACTTACAATTCGCATAAAACTGTTCATAGGCTCTTCACAACGTTTCCTGTTTTTCCTCGTTTGTTTCGTTGTTAAGTGCAAAGTTATACAATGAGCTATTTGGGTTGTGCCCACCACGGGTTTCTAAATCCGTTTTTTAGAGTAAGAAGCCTTCAAACTTACTGCTGAGCTATTGAGTGGTAAATAACATTTTCCCCGAATAACTTAACATATAACTTGAGCGTGCATAAAATATTCAGGATATCTAGACATTGATTTTCAGGGAGTACAACTTCAGATAATACATGAGGATATATTCATTCACAAGCACTTGAAAGCCAAACATTGCATATTGACTAGTGCGTCGCGACTACGAATTTGAGGATCTATGTTCGCATACCGTTCCAGTAAAAACGTTTTTAGTATTCTGGAATTGTATGTGCACAATAAGAATAACTGTCAAATCCCAATATTCGGTCAGACAAGAGTAGACCAAGAGCTGGGGGAGGGTACGGTGGAGTAAGTGTTTTCTCTCCTATCTATCAGCTTAAAATTAGGAACGCCTATGCCCAGATAGTCTTTTGTGTAGTTTTGCGTGAAAAGTCTAAAATAAATAAACAAATGCAAATTCTCGTTTTCTTGTCGCGAATCAGAAAAGATAAAAAAGAGACTCTTATATAATCTAACTACAACAGCATTTTGTTGAAACTATAAAATAAAATCGTTCCAGGGTTTTTACCATAAAAACGGATAGCTCTGATATTCCCCCTACACCTTTATGCTTAGTTCTCCCTGGCGATTCGGCGGTATACTTGACGACTTATAACGCTAAAATTCGGAGTTTAATTCTGCAGGCAAAGACGATTCATTATGCAGATTTGTGTACAAAACCAACGCAATGCATGCAACATTTACATAACTTATATACATGCGCTGCGGATGAAAGTAATTACAAAAGAACAAAGTAATTTCTTGTTGTATGGTATTCTTGTGCTTACAACTTTGCTTGCGGTTAAGGTAAACATTGACAGATCAGCATTTCAGTATATGCAATACCAAGGTTGATTATAGAAAAAGCTTTTTGTACTTTTAATATCTCCCTTAGGGAGGAAGGGTTTTATCTTTATTATCTTTTCCTCAAAACCCACAAATGACTTCAAGGATGTTACAAAAGTACAAGTGTTTCCTAATGACTAGTTTTTTTTTAGTTTTTTTTTACATCTTGTATCATAATATTTAGTTTCTATGACAACAACTTATTAATTAATAACTAACATACGTTTTTCTCATTATTCACAAACTTCTTCTATTTCTTGTCATTTTTCCTGCTGTAAGCTGAAACAAAATATGAAGAACATATTTTCACGATTGTGATTTGTTTGTGTGTTTTTAAAAAGTGCCCTACTACGTGTAGCTAATGTATACTATGTATGTAAGTGTGTGAATAATCTTTAAACACGATAGTGCTTTCTACCCCTAATCTATAGTCAAACTGCATCAGGTTATGTTACATCTCCCAAACAAAGAACAACAAAAACTAGAACTTTAACATTTGGGAAATTAAGGGACAAGTCCTTTCTTGTGACATGGGAAAAGTTTAACGGCTAGATAGTTTGGGGTATTAGTTTATAAACCCTATTGTGCATTTGGTAATATCCCCTGGTGGAACAGCAGTAAGTTTACGGATTTACAACGCTACAATCCAGGGTTCGAGTTCTGCTGTGGACATAACAGTTGGCATAATGTGGTTTTGCTCTAAAACAAACCAACAAAGCTTTAATAATACCTGTTGTTTTGCTTTGTTTCATAGGACACAGTTCCCAACCTCTCGATTTGCTAGTAGTTGCATTAGTCTCAGTTGAGAACGTGGATTTGACATGTGTTAATGGTTTACTCATATACAATGCAAGGTTTAGAGGGTAGGCCATTTTACTACTACTACTACTACTACTACGCGCTACGTGATTCAAACGTGCTCTGCATATAACCTTATTATTATAGCGTATCTAGCGCGAGACAAGTACATTATAATACTATTAATTTGTTGCAACTTTCTTTTTCCTTTAAATAAACAAACATAAATATGTAATAGAGCCTAATATAAAGTAAGTTTTGTGAATGCATTGCTTTTACTAAGGCAATAGTAAGATGTGTTTTTTTTTTCGTTTATCTAATACACAATGGCTGACAATTTCAACAGAGATTGGCATATTTTCAGCTTATTCGAGACGAGTGTTGTAACGAGCGAATTGTGAAAAAAAAAATAAAACAACAAACTCTGCGTCATCATCGAAATTCTTTTTAATAACACCGAATATGGAGTTTTGGTGTTCTTCACTAGGTTTCTATTTATTTCATTATTTTTTTTCAAAAATCACGAAGAACCAAACGATGCTTCAAAGTTGACGTCATTTTGTAACCAAGAGGTAAAACTGCCTATAATTCTTATATTCTTTTACAAGTTATGAATGCTACAGCCTTTCATGTGTTGGAAACGCGCCGTGATTTTTCCAGGCCAACTGACTTTGGAATTAAGTGCAGATTGAAAATTTGATTCAAATACAGGTTCATTTCTGCCAGTTTAACCATGAATCACACACTATACTTTTCAAGCTTTGAATCAATGGGCATTTTGATGTGAAATTTCAGGGTGTATTTGAATAAAAATTACATAGTTGTATGTACGAATAACGTACTTCAATAAACATAATTCAATAGAATGAACGTAAAATTGAAATACCAGCAATACAATTCAAGCCTTACTAGTGGAACCTGATAACTAAGTCAGTGAGCTATACAAGTTCTCCAACTAAAATTTCTATCTTACTCTCTTTTTATCTATCCATCTATCTTTGTTGCAAAGGAAATGGTGATGAAAACAGTATCGGCTGTACTTATCACAGCACAGATCTGTAAAATAATTCACTTATTGTATATTTATGTTAAAGATTTATTTTATTTTTATCACCAGAAGTGAAATTGAAAAGAAAACCTGTGACGTAGAACCCTAATACATTCTTTGATTGGCTGTACCCTCTGCTGTGGACTGCAGTTTCTCAGTTCAAGGCTCATCAGCACAACTTGGGTCAGCAAACCAAAGAAATACTATTAGGCCTTTTATTATTGTGAAGTGTATCTAATATCTATGTGGTTTTGAGTCAGTTTTTCTTCACCATCAAGGTTTACAATAGTACCGGCGGTATGAGGTTGACGGTACCGGTACTCGAGTATCTCTAATTATGTCACATGAGCAATTAGAAATTCATCAATTCTTCCCAGTGTGTTCTCGTGAGAACATTTTTTTTTTCACATCAAACCAAATTGTCAATTATCTGTAGGTCCACGTAGTATGACTATGGTAATGAATCAATTGAAATCTAGGCTTTCTATTGGTTATAATTGTAATGGGGTCGGCTTCAGAAAAATCTATTAGTAAATTGTAAATTAGAGCATGTCAGAGGTAGGCGTGGAAAGTGGTTTCTGAATTTTCATTGATTGCTCTTTAGCCCAATAAGACTGAAGAATATAAAAATATAGCTTCAGAATATGGATGACTAAATTATAGAGAATATTTTACGTTACATTTCTTAGTTTTCAAGGGGGTTGGACAAAAAAAAGTCCAGAAGACGAGACGCTCAAGAACAAATATCCAAATTCTCAAACTAGGGGAATTTGAGGTTGTTTTTAAATATTCCTTATAAAATGGCCTCCAGTGGCACATCGGCATGTCTGTGGACTTACAATGCTAGAATCCGGGTTTCGATACCCGTGGTGGGAAGAGCAAGATAGCCCATTGTGTAACTTTTTGCTTAATTATAAACAAATCTTATAAAATTAAGAAGTTAAAACTTATATATTATCTAAAATTGATTTATTATCTATGATTTGATGTCAAGTTTGTTCGTATACCATGATAATTAAGTAGTTTAATTAAATTTTTAATGTAACTCACTAAAATGTCGTGACATGCGCAGTTTGACCTGCGCGCATGCTAAGGGTTAATCACGAACACACCTACCTAACATGCAATCAGTCACACAGGCACATTCACGTTCTCTTCCAGAGCAGTCATCAGCTTCCCATATTTCATGCTTTTGCCGATTTTCACGGTGAGGTTCGCTTATCGACTAAAGTATGAACTCAAAACTACCACATCAAATATTCATAATTCTGTGAAAAGCGAAGCTGAAATACCAGAGGAGGCATTCAGTCAAAACTCCGAAGATGGGACATGTGATAATAGATATTATTCTCAACATATGATATACTATAAACCAATACCGGTACCGACTGCAAACCTTGTGAATAATGTTATGACATTTCGTCGAATTCATTGTTCATTGGTGAAGTAAAATGGATTCATAGAATTCAGTTATTATATTCAATATAATTAAAAGTTTAACCTTTTTCCAGTAGCAGCAGTATTAATCTTACCGGATGATAGAAATGAATTAAAGAATTGGTTGGGTGTGTAAAACTCTCAAATGATCTTTTAGTCCAGATTTCACAATTGTACTAC